TAGAGAAAGTCATTCCCTCCAAGTGTCGGTGCCCCCTTGGGCTTCTGGGGAATCATCACTGCCTAATTGTCCTACAGGACTTCCTGTCTGCAGGTGTTGATGATCACCACCACAGGGCACTGGGCCTGGGGGTCAATGCAGTTGGATTTGTTTGTTTGCTGAGATTACATTTCTGTTGTTGTTACTGTTCGTCGTCTTTTACGAAACTGGATTACTTACCCCGGAGAAGTATAAAATAATTAAGGGAAATTGTTCTCATCAAACATATTCTTTGCCGAGTCTGACAGCATTAATTAATAAGGCTTGGCAAGAGCATGTGAATATGTGCAAACTTTATTTTGTTACCAGGACTCTTTTTTACCTTTAATTCGATGAATGTATCCCCAGTCTGGAATGAACTCCTAGATTGATATGTCGTTGGGCTCCTAATGATCAGAAACAGCATCTGCCATTGTTTCTTCTGATATCATCTTCCCATCATCCCTGGTAAAGTGTGGATCATACTATAGGTCCTCAGGAAATTCCTATAAATCCTACAGAAATCTCTATGGAATGAAATAACAGACTGATTAACAAACAGTTATACCTTAAGTCAAGCATTACATCTGAGAGAATCTACAAGAAAGTAGGACTGCGTTTTGCTCCACTTCAAATGTTTATATTTTGAACTTGCATCTGCTCAAACTACAGTCAGTGTTGGGTCTGGAACAGAGCAGATTGACCTGGTCCCAAACCCGGACTTTTCTTTTTGCTCTGCTAATGGAGAACAAAAATACCAATAACAATGATGATAAAGCTGGTACACGGCTTAGGAGGCTACTGCTTTGATCCTTGACCACAGCTGATTTCTGGAGGGCTGTCACTGTAACATGACCCCTGGCTTCTGACTCATCACTGGCTTGTCCTCGCTGTGCGGGCTGCACTGTTCCATTCCTCGGAGCTGTATCAACCGAGGAAAATTAGGGGAACAGTCATCGCTTTATTTAAATCCAAGGAAAGAATGTTGCCAGCTCAGATTCAAAAGGTCATTTTGCAATTCTCCCCATCCTGAGCAATGAGTAGAGCAGCATTTCCCAGGCCGCGTTCCCTCCCCGGTGTAGTGAACCATCCCTGTAAGAGCTAGAGCTGCGGGTGGACACACGCACGCCAGGAGCCCTGCATCCAGATCCCTCCAGAGGTTCGCAACAGCTCTCTGAGGATTAAAGTGCTTTGAGGTCTTGGAGGAAAACACAAAAACATCTCTTTCACTGTGGAGTCTCATCACTCTTAATTTATCTGAATTCAGCCACAGGCCCTGGGTAATCATCATCATCATCATCAACATCATGCCCTTCTGTTTCCAATAACGTGACCCCAGACACAAACCCACTTCATCTGGTGCCGGAGCAGAGAAAGATTTTTTTTCCAACCCTGGAGGAGAAATTGGCCGTAGACAGAGCCCACGATCCCCAAACCATGTGCCCTGTGCTTTATAACAGAAGGGCATTCAAGGGTGTGGTGATTATACATCATTTTCACCTCACACGCCGATGCAGGAACGCAGCTCCTGTCTAAGCTGGAACTCTGCTGAGCGGTTGTCCTTTTAGAAGGGCCTCTGGAGTTCTCCCTCAAGGAACTGATTCTTAGTGCTTGGCTGGGGTCCCTGAGACTGTTACCTCCCACAGCGTCCCACACGAGGAACCCGCATGTAGGTTCGCCTCGGGGACTTTAAAGAAGGTTCCAGGCCCTCTTCTTTCTAAAGTCAAAACCCTTCTTCCCTCGTGTGTACATTTACTATGGCAAGTTTCTTTTTCCCTCCTCTGGAAAAAGGTGCTGTTGAATTGACGTGGCATCTTAGCAGTTAGTGGCATCCTGGGATTGTGGGAATCCTGCAGCTTGGGTAGGACCGCACTGAGCCAGGCCCTTCGGAAAACTGAGAACAAGTCAGGCAGAGCAGGAGACACATGGGAAGTAAGTAGGTCTGGGGGCAATAAAGAGTGGGGTGAGCAAACGATTTCACGACGATGAATTCTGCTTCATGAGCAATTGAATAATAACTTTCTTTCTGGAGAAAGATAGCTTTGTTTTACAAAACTGCCACTATAGATTTCTGTCTAAGGTGTGGTTTCTGGCAAACTCTGTGATTTGTTTGTTTATTAGCGTCCTCGATGCTTTGCTCTTCTTACCCAGGAATTACTTCTTCAAATTCTTGAGCCTTCCCCAGAGGTGCCTGTGGCTGCGTTCGTGCTGGGTCTGTGGTTTCTGCTCAGCTGCAGGCCCTCTTCGACAAGTGCCTGCCTGCCTCCAACAGGGGTGCACTGCATCCGCCCCCATTCGTAAGGTCACACTGACACCGGCCCTGACCGACACCCTGTCTCAGTGACCCGCATTACTGTCAGCTCTGGGCATCATCTTGATGGTGGCACTATCTCCAAGGATAGATGAGTCAGGTTACCAGCGTGTTTGAGGAGGCAGGGCCTGGATGGCAAGTGCTTTCAGAATTCTGACGCTGCTTTCTTGGCTGCCCCATCAGATCCTTACCACTCGTGACACTCACCATAGGGTTTGGTAGTAGGGCACCTCTGCCCTTATGACAACCCTGGGCCTCAGCTACTCTTTGAAGGCAGGGAGCAGTGGTGGTGGTGGTGGTGTTTGCTGCCGCTTCGGGGAGCCAGGAGCCCCGCGGGGAGGCCCGGAGGTAGAGGGGTTGCCCCCATGAGCCGGGCCACCCTGTAGCTTGTGATGTTTGTGAGCCAGGAAACCACCAGGCTGTTTTAACCCCTGCAGGTGCGCCAGGCACAGGCAAAAGAGCTGTGTCCCCTCTCTCTTATCTTCCTTCTTGCTGCCTCCCACCCCCACTCACAGAACTTACAGACCTGTCAGTAATTCAGTTTGGTCCACATTACCCTGATCCTGCGTTCCATCCATTTTCCATTGTTTGGCGGTTTTCTTTTTAATATTTGTCCCCTTGGTCAACCAGCACTGGAACTGAATTGGGTCAGCAGCACAGTCCAGGGGAAGGACCATCTGTCTGGTTTGAGGGATTCCTTAGGGGAGGTGCTTCCTCCCCGCAGGATAAACGGACTTATATGTTTCCTGGGGGTCTCCTCTGCAGCCTTCCCAGATCATTTTTCAGCAATGGCTGGCCCTGTAAAAGAACGAACATGAGGCCTCATACAAACTGTTACCTACGGTGTTTGCTCGATTCCAGGACACTGTTCATTGTCAGATGCCACATCAACTGAATAGCACCTTTCCCCAGGTGCCAATGGCACTTCCAGAACAGTCTCTCCATCCAGCCCGAGTTGGTGAGCAGAAAGAGATGGGCATATAGTGTGGTGAGCAGGGCATGGCCTGGGGAACGAGCCAGGAGCAGCTTCTAGGGTTACACTGCTGAGTCATAACCCATGCACATCCCTCTTTTCTTCTGGGATTCGGGTACTTCACCTTTCACTTGGTGTAGAATTTAGTTCGAAGCACAAAAGAACGAAGTTATCATGGTTTAGGAAGTTTCCTGTTTCTGGTGATAACCCCTGACAAATGTCATATAAATTAACCTGGTCCCATAGCAACTTGGCCACACATAGAAAAAAAAAAAAATCACACAATCACCAAGTGGTAATTTAGGAGTGTGGTTTTAGTTTTCAGATGTAAGAGTAGCTGGGGGAGGCCTACTGTTGTTTTATTTTTGATTTCTGGTTTAGTTTATGATGGGCAGAGAATGTTAGCTCTAAGTTCTCCATTTTATAACTTATGATATTTCCTTTGTGACAAGTTAGCATGCAATCTTTTTTTTAATGTGTCATATGTGATTAGAAAATGTGTTTAATCTCTCTTTTGTGTGCAAGGTTCCATGTATTTATATCCTCACTGTTTTTGTCTGCTTGGTCTGTAATTTCTGAGAAAAGGGTTTTTTTTCCCAAAGATTTTATTTATTTATTTATTTGAGAGAGCGCACGCATGAGCATGAGTAGTGGGAGGGGCAGAGGGAGAGGGAGAAACAGACTCCACACTGAGCGGGGAGCCCCATGCAGGATCATGACCTGAGCGGAAGGCAGACATTTAACCGACTGAGCCACCCAGACATCCCTCTGAGAAAAGGGACTTAAGTCTCCTATGATGGTTTTAAGTGTGTCAGTCTCTCCTGGAACTCGGATAGCTTTTCACTTACAGTTTTGTACTGTTGGATGCATATAAGTTTATGACACATGTCTTTTTAGTGATGGAGTCTTCTTCATCCCATTAACTTTCCCCTAGGTCCTATTTTATCTGATTAGCTTTCCTACCCAGTTTTCTTTCGGTGAATATGTGTTTGTCTTGTCTCTTTCCAGTCTTTTATTTTCAACTCTTCTGTGTCCTCTTGTCTTGGGCACCTCTCTTGTAAATAGTATATAGCTGGCTTTTGTAAAAGTCCAATCTGGGGCGCCTGGGTGGCTCAGTTGGTTAAGCGACTGCCTTCGGCTCAGGTCATGATCCTGGAGTCCCTGGATCAAGTCCCGCATCGGGCTCCCTGCTCGGCAGGGAGTCTGCTTCTCTCTCTGACCCTCCCCCCTCTCATGTGCTTTCTCTCTCATTCTCTCTCTCTCTCAAATAAATAAATAAAATCTTTAAAAAAAAGTCCAATCTGATAGTGCCTTTTAATAGGTAAGTTTTATCCATTTACATTTATTGTGGTTACTTTATATATTTGGATTTATTTCTGTCTTTTAATTTGTGTTTCTCTTTACCTTGCTTTCTATTTGCTTCTTTGTTCTTGCCTTTCTTCCATTAGATTAGCAAAGTTTTCTTTTTTTTTTAAGATTTTTTTATTCATTTATTTGACACAGAGAGAGCGAGAGACAGAGAGCAAGCATAAGCAGGGGAAATGGCAGGCAGAGGGAGAAGCAGGCTCCCTGCTGAGCAAGGAGCCCGATGCAGGGCTCGATCCTAGGACCCTGGGATCATGACCTGAGTCAAAGGCAGCCACTTAACCGACTGAGCCACCAGGCGCCCCAGATTAGCAAAGTTTTCTTAATCTTCTTTGTATTTTTCTCTCTGCTAGTTTGGCCAGAATATATTTTATTTTATATATATAAATATATATATATAGTGATTGCTGTTGAATTTTTAACATGCATACTGAACAGTGATTTTTTTTCTAATATAGGCTATGATTATCCAGGATTTTGGTGTTCTCAAACAACACAAAGACCTTTGTACACTTTTCTCTTAACTTAAAGTCAACTGGTAATTACAATAAAGAGTAGAAATCCTGGCCCAAAACATTGCCATGCATTCTCAGCCTACTGACTCACAGGGGGATTAGAGGCACCCTGATTGATTTATAAAGCATGAACTTTTTGCTAATACACTCTGTTTTACACCCTAGGGTGCTTTTGGACATCTGTCAAGTTCAGAGTGATACATTCATTTCCAGTCTTTAAAAATCTGCCTGTCAAGTTCCTGAAAATGGTCTGAAGTAGGATTGGGCAAAAGAGAATTCAGAATGCTATGGTCTACTGCTAGGGCCTGTTCCCATAAATCCTGTTTGTCATGTGTAATGATTTTTAGTGAGAAAATGAAGGGGCTCCTCCCTGCTGACACCTGCTTACTTATCCCTTGATTCCCAAACTTTAATGTCCATTTGAATCCCCCAGGGGTTTCCTAAATGCTAAATTGAGAGGACTCAAATGCAGATTCTGATTCAGTATCTCTGTATTTCTGATGCCCTTCCAGGTGATGCTGGTGCCTTCGGTCCACTGACCACATTTGAGTAACAAGTGCTTGGAAAATAAAATTTACCTAGGAAAATTGGGGCTTCAGCCCAAGGTCAGGGTTCCATGATACCTCACAGAACAGCAGATAGCAAAAGAAATACTCTCTTTGAAGTGTTTTGGGGTTCAGGATCATGTGAAGTCTGAAGGTCTCCTTAAAGCCTTAAGGTCTGGCAGAGCCCAGCGTGAGTGCTCATTCTGCGCACCGTGAGTCCCCCTCGCCACAGTGGGCTCTGTCTGCCTTCCCTCTGGAGGTCAGCACAGCATGTGCTTCAAGTCTCAGACCTGTAACTGTGTCATCTAGACATGACTCTGTGAGTCAGTGCCCCAAGAAAGAGCCTGCCTGGGGCCAGGGGCAGGTTTCCTGGTAATTTGTGTTTAAGACAAGCTTTAATAGAGCTACACTTTTAAATAGTAACCAGGAAAAAGCTTCTCTCTTTTTAACGGGTAGCCATTTATAGGACTCAGCTGTTGAGGCTCAAGGGTAGCATTAGGCTTAAGTTTAATCTTCTGTATACCATAATTTACAGCACTGAGTAAAGCATTGTACGTACAACGATTTCAGTCATTTGCTGTGATAAATAGCTATTGCTCTTGGTGGAACAGAAACACCGTCTCTGCTTTCCATTTATGAATATTGAATGGTCTCAGGCAGGCTTTTTCTGTAAGTTTTTAAAGGGGAAATCCCCGCTGATCACAACTCCTCACTAGCCCGAAGTGTAATTTCCCTGCTCCGTGCACCGTCAGCCCTTGATCCGGACAGTAGTTCTGCAGCACGCATGTGTCCTGGGGAATATTGCACAGGGCACTTCTGACAATCCCTAGTTTAAGTCCTGCAGTTTTATACTACATCCCTCTGGTGGTTTGGTAGAAGATTTAACTAGTGGCAGGAAACCACTGACAGGAGTCAGGGAAATAGCTTAAAGGTGATCATCTGATGCGGGGAAAAATAGAAGGGATGTGATTCTGTTGGATTCCTGACAGCAAGAAGATGGTGTCAGCTCAGAAAATTGAAATGAATGGGGGCCAAAGGGGAGGAAAAATGTCAAGACTCTAAATCTCTAGGGATCCACTCTTAAGGAACTCGGAGACACACATGCCTTCCACCAGACTTCCCTTAGTTCAGATACTTTATTCCTGGCCACCTGGGAGGAGGCAAAATGGATAGTCAAATATAACACTTGGTAGAGTGACCAGCTTGTCTTGGGAAGTCACTGGGGCCAAGTTAGCCGGTCACCCTAGACTCAGGCTACCAGAAATTCTCCCCTCAGCCCAGTTCCTTTCCCATGGGTGAATTTTCTGCACTAGAGACTAAAATCCTTAGACTGGCGTTCTTTGATTTGTCTCATGTTTTTGAGTACCCACTCTGCCAAGCATTGCACTGGGTGGTGAGAGGACTCAAGGGCGAACATGAGTAGAGAGGGTGAACAAGTAAAATGGTGACCCTTGGCCTCCTTTTGAATGCCGTGGCATGGACTGCCTTCCTGTGGCCCGTTTGGGAGTGGCCAAATGCCATTGGGCAGCAGCGTCTCTCTATGATTCCTTTGAATACAGAGACTAAAGGCTTCTGTTCTCACTATGGCCTTTTGAGGGTGATCTTGTATCTTTAGAAACATCTTCGATTTCTACTGCATCTTGCCATTTACAAAACACTCTCTAGTAGCTTCTGCGTTCTCACTGTGATAACAACTCAGGGAGGTAGACTGGGTGCTGGCTTCCTAGCTTTGGAAGCTCAAAGAAGTTCAGCGACTTTCCTAAGGTCACCGACTGAGAGGCGCAGAGCTGGGATGAGTATTCAGGACTCCTGAATCTGACCTCAGTGCACTGTCCGTGGACAGAGACTCCGGGGAAAAAATGCACAGCCTAGCAAAATATTGGAGGCAAGTGTACCTTTATGAAACATCCAACCTCAGCCGTTTCTGATTCCAGATGTACAGGCAACCAGCACCTCCTCTCGCTTTCTCATCTCTGCTTCACATGGGATCCAAGCTTTCTGTAATGACTACTTGAAAAACAGTCTTACCATTCTGATTCTGAGGAATATTATTCAGTCTGCTTATAGGTTATGATCCACCCTCTCATTTCCTGGCCAGAAGATTCCATCAGAACAAAGTTACGGTCATTTGAGCAGACGCTGAAGGCATTCAGTTGTGTTCCGCATGAGAATAAATCCACTCAGCATTCTGATCAGTTACAACCGGTGATGAGAGAATTGTGTGGGCCAAAAACTCCAAGTATGTGTTTCGTGCCTGTAAACCTACTAATGAGAATGGGGTTTGGCAGAAAACTGAGCTTAGCATTGCTTGTTAGTATTCTGAGAGCTGGATTATAGACCCAGATACGATACAATTTGATCTTGATAGCATCTCTCCTTCCCAGGCCTCAGATAAGTTTGTTAAGCAGGAAGATGACAGGAAGTAATCTGGAGAGAGAATTGTATCTAAGTGGCTCAAGAGACCTGGCCATTCAGGACTCTTTGGTAACCTTGCTGTGACCTCCCGCCTCTCTTTGCCCATCTGTGGAATGGGCTTGGTGGTGATGCTCCAAGGTTATTATTAGAAATGAAGAACTTGAAAATGCCTTGGCATGTGACTTGTGCTATAAATATGCCTCGCTGCCATGTGGAAAAAGGAGTTTTTAGCTGCAGTGTGTGACCAGATGAGGCCGGGTACGTCACTCACTGGCAGCGGGAGCCTTGCCAGAGTCGGGAGAGGCATGAGGGAGAGGGGCCAGGTGCTTGTGTAAGGAAGGAGGACAGAGAGAGCATCTCTGAAGCAGTCTGGGACAACCTGGTGGAATGTTCAGAACAAACAGGCACAGAATAAACGTTTGAACGTCCATCCGGCCTGAATTTAGAAGCAAACAGGGGATTGGAGATGAGCCTCTGTCTTTTCACACTGTGGGCTCTGTGCTCCAGCTTCAGCCATCCACTGAATTCCAGAGGCTTGGGCCTGGGGAAGGAGGAAGACCTGGGCAGACCAGTGGCCCTGTGGGGTTCAGCTGCTGTGTTTGAAAGAGGATTGTATTAGGAGAAGCGACGCAGGTTAGGAACGAGCCAGACCCTGGAGCCAAGCAGCCTTGGTGTGCTTGTGGCTCCCTGCTCCTCACCAGCCAGGGCACCTTCAGCCAGTCCCTCCATCGCTCCATGCCTCTCTCCTCATCCACAAAAGGAAGTTGATATTAGTACCTGTCTCGGAGGTTGTCAGGAGGATAAAATGAGTAAACAGGAGTGTGGAGCTTACATGAGCAGCCAGCATCTGTCTACGTGAGCATCACACCAGGGCTTCCCCAGCCTTGCGAATTCCGGCGTATGGCAGAGAGGAGACACACACTGGACTGGCTGAGGGGAGTTCACCTCCGGAGGATGGAGTGTGTTGACCATGAACTACGTGCTCATTGTCAGAGAAGCAGCATCGACTGGAAAGAAGAGCCAGACGATAACCAGCCTTGACGGGCCCACTGGCTGCATCCACACAAGCAGATCCCAGTGGCCAGTATCCTAGCAATTTTTGTCTGTTTATCTCATGCAAGTCTGTCTTTCCCAGAGTCACTCGCCGATACCGTATCTCTAGTCTGGAATCCTACAAAATCATTCCCCTGTTATCTGTCTGCTTCAACATGGGAAAAACCCCACTCATCTGGAACTCCTTTCGAATGCCTGCCGTCCTGCCTCCCTGCAGAGTGTGGGCAGGTCTGCTCTCTGCTGCACACGTCTTCAGAATGCCTGGATTTCGGGCTTTCAGAACAAGTCTTTAAATCCACTGGTGAAAGGAGACAGCAGTCATCTGTGGTTTGGTGTTTGCCAAAATGTGGCCTTATGCCTGGATGAAGTGATAGCTATTGGCATGAAACCTGGTTCCCCCTGGGCGTACACCCAGCCTGAACAGCTCCTTTAAAACCAGAAGCAATTTGTCATCTTTTGATTCTCTTCCAGCACTGTCCCTGTCACAGGTAGATAAATGAGGCGGCATATGGGTGTCCAAATGCAGGAACGTCTAATCCCTGCGGTTTCCCGTGGAGCCGTCACTCCACGAGGATGGAGAGCACGGTGGGGTGGTCCCTGGCTTCAGGATTGTAACCATAAGCAAATTTTTTCATCGCATGTCCCATTTCTATGCATGAAATGCTTTCTCAGAACCTCCCAGCCCCCAGCGTGCCATTGGTGGGTGCGTTTCTCATTTCAGGCTCCTGAAATGAATCATACGTTTGTGAGCCCAACCTCTCCTGTCTCTAGTCCCACAGAATGCCACTAATCAAATCAGTGTCTCAGCAGAAGCCA